TCTGCCTAATGTGTAACTGACACTGGTGTAAAGGTTTATAAAATAACACTCATGAACTGCGTTGACACTTAGAAGATACAAGCCATTTTATGATGGAAACATTTTGAATACAAGAATGTTTAGTTTTCTTTAGATTTTATGTCCAAATGGACTCAACTCTAAAGTTAATAAAATCCTTAAAACTGTTCCAAGTTTCTACGTGTTAAAGAGATTTGTTATTTTTTATAAACTTTTATATTGCAATCAAATTCATTCGTTGAATGAATGAATGAATTCAGAATTCCTACTGGACCTGACTACTGAATATTGCTGAAAGGCAACATTTTTTTTTTTTTTTTGCCACTAGTGATTTTTTAAATTGTGGATAACCACAGAATTTGTATTTAATTGTAAACAACCATGTAATGTCAGTGTAGAGGTTAATAATTTACCTTTTAAATCATGAATGTTTGAAGACTGAATCCGTTTAAAGACAGCAGCAACACATTTTGGTCTTGGCTGTGCTCAGATTAGTCACCATCTCCTTGGTCCTGGAGAATATAAAAGCTATTTCTCCAAACAGAAGCTGTTCAGAAAACTTTCTACTATAGCTAAGATTGTAATTGTTAATCATTCTATGTATTTATTATTAAATACATAGAAACACATTTTAAAAATGGCTAACTTATCAACCCTTTGATGTGATTTTGAAATGGAATGTAGAATTTATTCCTCCTGCTTTGTTCACCTTTCTTACAGAAGACTGAACTTGCTTGACCAAAGTAAGGGTCAGAGTTTTGGGGCACAGTTTGCACTTTAGTGAAAGAGCAGCAATTCTCTCAAAATTCCTGTGAAGGACTGCAGCACTTTTGTGAAACCGCATTTCACATCAGAGTAGTGAATGCCTCATCCTCAAGTCCATAAGAGTAATTTAGCAGTAATGGGAACAGAGGCCATTCTCAAATGGCTGCTTTCCATTTCTGTGTGAACACCGAAGAGACCATGCTGAGTTGGTTTCTAAGTGCAAAGCTTTTTGTGGCAACAAGTCTGAGCTGCTACTCCAAAGACGAAGTTGTACTTTAATCCCACTGCAACAGTTTTGTTTTTGTCTCGATCTCTCCCACATAAATGTTCCTGCGGGTCACTTATGGAAAACCCTATAAGATATCTTCTTGTTGCTCATTATGCAGAAAGGTTGGCTCTAAAGTGACTTTCAGTACAGCGCTGATGTGTGATGATTACTTGTTGAAACTGCATTTTGTGCATAAACCTATGACTCAAACGAACAGTTCCTGAGTTCAGACAGCTTCAAACACGCCACCCACTGACTTCCTTTCTCTTCCTCTGGATAATAACCTACCACATTGGGCTCATTACTGCATCAAAGAGTGTCTCAGCAAAAACACTCATCACTGTGTTGGGTTGTGGAGGAGCCTTGATTTCCTCTATCAGCCACATGAAAAGAAACAGCTGAGAAAAACAACAAAATAAGAAAGATCAGACACTTCTTTACAGGAAAATTGTGCCGTCTTTGAAAATGCACCTCTAGTGCAGGTTTAAATATGGAGCCAATTCAGACAGCTGTATACAATCCTGTGTCTTTTAGAAATGCAGAGCTTTATGCTTTCATTGTGGTCTAATTCTCTATTTTCCGAGAGTTTTAAAAAAAGACAATTTCATGTTTCTGGAAGCTCTAGTTTTTTAAATGAATTCTGAATCTTGACCGAGCAAACCATTTCCCTGTAACAGTTATTGAAAAATAATAGGTTTTAACAAGGACCGTTTTCTCTGTTGTGGTGGGATGAAGGCAGGCTGATTTAAAGGGAACACATGCAGTCTCGTGTCTCCTTTTTGACCAGATGTTGAATGGTCAAACAGTACCTAAAAACTGACCATTGCTGGACGTTACAACATATTTTAACAATGTTCCTCTACGTCGCATTTTTCGCTGCAGGAATTAAAGTTTACATTACGGAGTAAAAGTTTGGCAGACGCGTTTGTTTGTATTTGGCCGCTGCGCGCCGGTTGTGGGGAGGGGGGACTCACACAGGCAGCTGGTGTGATCAGCTCTGAAAAGCGTGGATCACAGTTTGTAGATCACATTTATTTTTCACAGAGATCGGCCGCGAATTCCTCTTCCGGACGGCATAGTAGGAATCGAAATTAAAAAACTATGAACAATTCCGGGAAAAATTAACAGTTGGTCCCAGTTCCAATCGATGCTCGATGCCCAACTCAAGTTCCGAGTTTAGTCTGCCATTCCTGCTGCTCACCTCAAGAGTATGAAGTAAGACAAACTGTGTGCTGCAATGTCTTTGAGCTTTGGACAACTGGTGAGCTGCTTTGTTTGTCATTTCCTTTACCTGGTATCTCATTTATTTTCTCCTTGTAGTAATTGTATTCATTATTGCCACAGACTCCCCTGCAGTCTGCTTGACTGCTGTCAGAAAGTTTGTATTTGTGTATCTGTTACTGAACTGTAAGTCCTCAATAAACCGGTCATAGCACTAGTGATGTGTCGGTCGTGAATGAACTGGCTCTATGAAGTGAACGACGGGAGCTGGTTCGTCATTGGGAGCCGTGAAACCAAAGCAAAAATAAAAACAGATCTAATGATGAATGGAAGTTGTTTTACTCATCGTTTGTACATTTGATCTTGCTCCTTCACATCTCCTCTGATGCAGAGTTCTGCCTTTTGTTGCACTCTTAAAAACGTCAGACATGTATCCTACCTAGGGTGATGTCAAAGTCAGGTGTAATTTGAGGTAAATCAGATATAGGTCACATCAAGTCAGATTTGACTCGTTTTTGCTTTTAGTGTACCTTAAAGCCAGCTTTTGGATTTATTGATTTAATATCATGAACATTGGGACATTCTCTGCTGAAATAGGTCAATGTAAAACCCAGAGTAGCTGCTCTAAGACACTAATCTAGACTTTTTTCTCAGAGAGCACCATCGAGAGGTGGAAAAAAATGCTGGAAGCAACGCCTCTCATTCATGAACGCACAACTATAGCTGGCCAACAAAGCTAGAGCACAGTGTTTTACAAATGTATTTATTTATGACTCGTGTGTCCATAAGAAATGTCACCAACTATACATCAGTCTACTTACACAGTGCTATTGACAATAGCAGAAGTCCAACATTATTGGCTAATCCAGAGTGGCGCTTAATTCAAATTTCATGAAGCTCCACGGAACAGGGTGCGGACTTAGCAAAAACAAAACTGACATATTATTTACCACAGTTCCAGGTAGGACTGTCACTTTTACTGATTTCTAAAAAGTCATGCATAATTCCTGAAAGAAGGAAAATTATTTCATCTGTGGTAGTTTATGTCAAAATAAGAAAAACAAAATCCCTGTTTGCGGTTTTTAAATGAAGTTGGCCTGGAGGGTTTGAGCATCTTGAAGAAGGTGTCAAAAGCACCTCTGTGGATTTAAACCATCTCATTTGCTCTTGCATTTTAATATGATCCCAGATTGATTCACTGAGATCAGGACTCAGAGGGCGTCAGACCATCTGGTGGCAAACCTCTTCTTGGTTTTCTAACTTTGCTGTGTCATTGTGACTCTGGATATTTAGAACTATTATGAATTCACAGAAATAATTTTGGAGCTTATAAGATGCCGGCCTAGTGGTTTATGTGGTTACAGAAAAGCCCAATGTGTCACGTTTCGAGGATGGTTAGGACCCAAAATGCAGATACCCCAGATGACACGAGGCAGGAGTTGATATAAAGAAAAATTGTAGGATGAACAAAATATATCCAAAGGCAGGGAGCTAAAAATCCAAAAATCCTGATTCAGGAGAACAAAAGCTCACACAGAGCACAAAACCTAGAGGCCAGGTAACAAAAGCTGACTTAGAGCACCAAAACATGGAGACAAGACACAAAAGCTCACATGGAGCACCAAACAACGCTGACAACCAAACAATGGACCGACAAGACACTGAGACAGGACAGGGCTTATATACACTGGGGCATGATGGGAGGCAGATGGGCTGCAGGTGTGTGGAGAGAGAACTAGGTGAGACCAATTAACTAATCAGGGAGTAAAACCAACATGACCTAAGAGTAAGAGTAAAAAACCTAAAGACAAGATGAGCAGCAAAATAAACTAATATTCTAAGGGGAAGGGAAACTACAAAAAACCTGTGGAAAAAAACATACTAAAGAGACTAAGAAAATGAGAAGCTGAACCTATAAAAAACTGCAGAGGGGTGACTGGGGGAGATAGATGGAACACAGGACCTGAGAGGGACTATCTGGAGGGCTGAAGACCAGGGGACACATGAGGAACACAGAGACACAGACACAGACCATGATACAATGGCTGTGTCTCAATTCAGGGTCTGCATCCTTCGAAGGACCCAGCCCACTCGGCCGACGTGGGCTGCGTCCTCCGTCGGCCGGGTAGACCGGATGTTAACGGCTGTGAATTTGGACAGGCCTAGCCTTCATGAACTCCCTCCGCGAACGTTCCGTCGCCTAGCAACCGTGGAACCGCTGGGCAGAAGGGAGAAGGAACTTTAAACAATGGAGCTCGACGTTTTATTTAGCTTTTTAACCCCCAGAGACCCAAATTTAGAAAACAACTGCAAAATCTTTTTTTAACCTTTCACATGTTGTTCTAGGCCAGATAAACGGGCCTATTTACACATTTTAACAGTCAATAGTGTTGCAGAACTGAACAATAGGACCTATTAGCAATGTAAATGTAGTTTTAAAAAGAAAAAAATGGGACAGGTTTATTCTTGTAGACTTAAATCTGATGTTGTAATGTTACAACCGTGGGTCTCTGGGGGTTAATCATTTCCTTGAATGTTGGAGAGCTAATTCAGAGAAAATACTTTAGACAAGCTGAGCCTGAGCAAAGATGTGATAATAGTTTTTAATACTTTCTAAGGGTCTTAATTTGACCAAAACCGATTTGTCACCTTTTAAGACTTTAAGACCCAGCGGATACCCTGTAATATTGAACAATTCTCATTTGTAAACAAAAATAAAATTCAAGAGTTTAATGCAGAACTGATTTTATTTAGATATTTCTTTTATATGTACATGTTTAATCTTTATTAACCATTTTTTTCTAGCAAAGTAAAAAGCTGTCAAAGTTCTTCCTTCTCTCCTGGGCCCTCTGCTGCTCTGCCTCCCTCTGCAGCCTCATGTCCTCCCTGATCAGATCCAGAAGCTGGTCATCGCTGGCACCTTCCCCTGGATGCCCATTTTCTCCAGAATAGTCTTAACAAACATGTAAGAAAAGAAACAGGAAGAGAAAAGAGGACAACGGGTTATTCCTTTCAGGTTTTCGCAGAAAAAATAAACTCAAACGAGTTTTTAAAATATGAGATGTTATTGTACCTCCATGCCACAGCCGCCGAATACTTTGCTCCGGTGATCATGTGGTCCATCTCCGCCCTAAGCTTAATAAATTCCCTGGTTTTCTCTTTTGTTCCTAAAATACAAACTTCTATTAAAATCAGGGGGAAAACGTAGCGGGAGAAATACGACACAGAGTGCGGCCGAACATACGAGCCGAGACCGCAATACAAGCACTTTTACTGTAACATTTCTAACTAAAATAACGTTCATGTATCACAAAAAGTCCTTAACCTAACAGTTTTCAGTTTATACTGACATTTATATGCGCAATCCTCTCCGACAGCTCCCACTTCACTGTCCGCCATTGTTTTTAAGTTTTTCTGCTGGCCGGCCCACAAGGCATCTTGGGAAATGCTACCTATTGAAGGATACACCGGACCCATCCTTCATTCAGGCGAAAAGAAGGCCGGATTCGTCGACCGCATTTGAAGGAGTCTTCGAATTGGGACAGGCCTAGTCGCGGCGCTGTGACGTAACCGGCCGACGAATCCGGCCGACGTAGGATGCAGACCCTGAATTGAGACACAGCCAATGTTTTGCAGAGTATAGCAAACATTCAGCAGGAAGTTTGAAAGAACTCTACGGACAGAGTTTGGATTTACACATTTCAGAGTTCCATTTAGTCAATGTTGATATTTCACTCATGACTAAAATAAGTTCCTTATAAATGCTGTGTATATGAGGTTTTATCAGTAGTAGTTTGTGGTGCCCTGTGGTCAGGATTGACCCAGAGTATGGTGTCCAGCTTAGGACATCTTTAAGTATCGGGAAAACGATGTTAGACTTCAAAACCAGATCATCTAAAAGGAATAAACACTGGAGTTAGCTTCTCATTCTACATTTTGGTTAAAGGGTAATTTCACTAAATAATTACCATTTGGGCCATCTTTGATCAGTTCAAAAATTATAAGACAAACCTGAGCTACATTAAATTCTAACATAATTCTAAAACTTCTGTTGGAAAAACTGTCAGATTTCAATATATGTTTTCAATGTATATATATATATATATTATATAATACCATTATGTAGCATGGACTGAAAGACAAGTGAAGGTTTATGCATTTAACAATATATCTAATAAACGATAATCAGGGCAGCTGTAAACTTCAATCTGAAGTCCACATCCATACATAATTATCCTCTATTCATGATTAGCAGTAGATGAGATATTTATGCCTACCAAGTTTTCTTTTTTCCATCAACATGCCCACTTTTAAGTGCAGCTCTCTTCTCTTCTTTTTTTGACATTTTTCATGTTTACTGCCGATCCAAATTTCTGTATGGATGCCATCTCTCCTACTCCATGGATCCACCTGCATTTTGGCACATTTGACCACTGTGCCGTTACTGCGTACCGGTGCGTACCAGCCCACTCAAAGCACTGGCTGTGCTCATATTGAAAGAGACATATAATGCAAAACTCACCTGTTGCATCAGTTTGTGCTGCCACGTGGCTCTCTGCTGCCTCTATAGACACCCCAGTGATGGGAAAAAAACATCCCAATAAGGGAATGGCCCCTTCCTATCTGTTGGTGCTGGAGGAGCAGCAGTTCTACTCCAAGTCCCTCCCAGATATCTGGGTAGGCTCCTTCTGTAAGGTACTGAAAATTTCAAGGATAAAGCTGCTGACATCACTTTCTGTGTGTTTTGCGAAAAGAACTTCATGAACATATTTTGTATAGACCATAAATGTCTTAAGACATAATATGTCCCCTTTAAAGGAAGAAAACCTTTCACTGGATATTTTTGTGACAATTTTAATCTGCCAATGATCAAATCTTCAGATTTTTCTTGTTTTTCTCATATTTGCCATTTATGTAAAACTTGCAAAAATCTCAATATGTATGAAACAAAGAAGACAAAAAGCTGTGTTTATAGAAACATTAAAAAAAGTAATAAATACATTTCCAACCTCTTACACAACACCAGGTTGCAGAGATAACTGGCCCAGAAGGGGAAACAACATTATTCCCAGGAACACTCTTCAGCATCTTCTGGAGGGTACCAAAATGTTTCCAGACCAGAGAGGATATACAATCCTTTCAACATACTCTGGATCTGCCTTGAGGTCTCCTCTCAGTGACAAAGCCCAGGAAACCTCTGGAGGAAAGCGAGTGGGAAGCTTCCTATCAGATGTCCAAACTACTTCACATGACTCTTTTTGATGTGGAAGAGCAACACTGAGCTCCTCTCAGATGACAGAGCTCCTTACCTTACTTTATGAGACCAAAATCCCTTCAGAGGAAGCTCTTTTCAGCTGCTTGTTCCTGGGATTTCATTTTCTCAGCCATGGTCCATCAATCAAACTTTGAAGGGCTTTGGAACATAGATGGACCAGTAAACTAAGAGCTTTGTTTTACAACTGACCAACTTCCTTTCTGTATTTTACTTTGTATCTATTTATGGTTTTGTTTCGCTGCAACAAAAGGTTGCATTGTGATATTTTCTAAAATTGTAGTTTAGATTAACTGTAAAGTCTTGTTGCTATATTTTTATAAAAATACATAGTCAATGAGTTATTTTCTTATAGCCTGCATTAAGAAAAAATAAAAGATGCCAGAAGTCCTCCACAGCTGACTGTATGTAGAACTAATATAATTTATATTGATGCAGTCATGATGTAATAGAACACTGTATTCCTGGTGATTACATCAGGTACAGCATGCTTTCTGCTCATGCCCTCTGTGTAACTAGCTTTGGGAGAAAACATCACTTAACCTGAAAACTTGAACGGAAACATCTTCTGCAAATAACTGATTACCCAAACAACTAGCTATCTCTATGTCTGCGTTATTGTGACACAGAAAGACCACTCTATTATGCATGAGAGTGATTAAGCTTCGGCAGATTACAAGCCGACCCCATTGCCTTTGTTTTACCTGAAGTTTAATTTGGATTCTGGAGAGAAGTGATGGAGTCTTTGCATCATCAATCTCTTCAATGTTCGTCGAATTGAATACAATGGAACAGAATAGAACAGGTCGGCTCCTAATGACATCCTGATATCATTTTAAAGTAGACTGGGACAACATGATGAAAATCCTCATTTCCTTTGCTGACAACAAAAGCAGTACAAATGGTGTCCTCATTCACATGCATGCATTCCAACAATGTTTCCAGTAGGGATTATGTTAGTGTTTGTGTATATGCTGGAGCATGACATCCAGGGAAGAATTCAATCCAAAAGGGGATGAGACTGGATGAAAATGACCTTGACCCTATTGCTTTCTTTGGTTCATCTTACATTTCCGGCTCATTGTCTCAATTTAACAACTTCAAAATGAAAAGAAGAAAATTCGATCCAATTGTAAAACATTCTATGGGGCATTCAATTCTGATCCTGGAGGGCCGGTATCCAGCACGTTACAGTGGTTTCTCTGCTCCAAGACACTTGATTCAGTGGTTAAAATCACCTGTGCAGCAGTTCAACAGACTCTGTAGAAGCCAGTTAATTACCTACTGATTGAAATCAGGTGGGTTGAAGCAGGGTTAAAACCATCGACATAAAAAATATGGACATAGCCTGCCCATTGTTCTGCGGGTGGGAGGATGAAGCCAAAAATTAGAGGTTCCCACTACAATGTTAGTTGCAAGAATAACACCGGCTGAATAGTCGAACTTCTTTAACCCTTTGATGCATGAATTGTGAAATCTTCAACCATGATTTTTTAAACACATTTTTTCATTCATTTTTAGGTGTGAATGAAACAAATTTCATATTTACATATTTTTTGTAACATTTAATTTACACATAGTTTATTACATGTCCGTCTCAGTGGACAGCATGCATTCTGAACATGAAATATGTTGGCTTGGCTTACTGAAGTAGAATTGGAGGGGCTCAAATGCAACAAAGTCTTCAATAGCTGTGCTCAATAGCAAAAATAAGTAAAGAACAAATTTGAGTACCTGTCCACTGTAGTGACCATTATGCATCAAATGGTTAATTTCTGTCGA